GTTTTTCAATGTTCATATCGAAAAGACGTTATATATTGCCAGTCACGGTCGATTTATATTACTTTAATTGTTTTTTTTTATAATAGTTGTAAAATATTTGTATATAATAAAATGTGAAATTTTTGTAAGCTATTATTAATCGTTTAATGTATGTTAAGATACTATATCAATAAAGGATAATAAAAATAAACTTTATCAGAATATATTTATATTTATTACTACTATATCATATAATACTATATCATATAAATAATATACATATAAATAATATAACACTATACTAATGTATGTTAAGATAAAGGATAATAAAAATAAACTTTGTCACAATATATTTCTATTTATTTTATTACTATATCACATACTATGTCACATACTATATCACAAACAAATTATTACATATTATATCACAAAAAATAACATAATTAAAGATGCCCATTTATTATTACAATACGTAAACAATAATATGACTTAAAAAAAGAAACTTTAAAAGAATATTAACAAACGATGTTAACTCTTTGGCATTCATATTTAGCACAATATTTCATTACAATATATGTAAGTATATATATATATTATATATGTATATGTATCAGAGAGTATCAAAAATCTATGATACCACTAATCAAAACAAAAGATAAAAGTAATATGTAAAAAGTAATAATGAAAAAACAAATATTAAGCAATTTAATCCAATCATTAAAAGTAAAAGTATGAGAAAAAATAATTAAGTTTTCTTATTAATTTTTTTACTAATATTTGGATTAAAATTGTCTGCCAATAATCTGGATCCCATGCTTTTACTTCCAAAAGCAGATGACTTACTTTGATCTGAGCGAATGAGATTTAAATTTGCAGATAATTGATTTAATCTCATTCCTATAAGTTTTTTTTAACAACTGTGGCCGAATATCATGACAAGTAGAAAGACTGAGATGTGATAAAACTGTGTGTATATGATTCTGGATTTGCAATTTAATGGATGATTTTATATTTTTCAACTGAGGTTTTATAGCTTGTAAAATAACTTCAACACTTCTAAACAATTGAAATACTTCATCTGATACTTTTACCAAAGCATCATTTACTAATTCTGACGCTAAAGTGAAGCCCGCTCTTGGATGCGGAACATCTTCTGAATGAAGAAGTTTTAAGAAGCAATCGGCACATTTTATATGCGGCTTCAATTTGTAGACCACGTGTCCACATATTTTATACAAAATTTCTTCTTTTTCTATACTTATTTCTTTACAATTATTTAAATGTGGAAATATTATATTTGACTCGATTAAAGACGGATTTGTACTTTCTTCTTTTTTTATAAATGAACGTATAAGATTCAAAGAGTCATCAAAATTATAACTGGCACTATCTATTTTCTGATGACATCCTGCTACGCACAGCTGCTTTAATCTAAATTTAAAGTCTCGTGCAGATGGCTTTGGTCTTTGAATGCGAATACTTGAAAATTCATTTTCGATACTGTCTTGTAAAAATCTACCCATGCATACAAATTCGAAACCTTCATTTATCAGTAAGTAAATATGCAATTCTAAAGCAACTTTGCAACACATAACTGCATGAGTTTGAACAACTTTCCAATCTTTTCCAAAATTAGCATGCTTCATAATATAACTAACAAGACGAATAACAGACACAGCCTTATTATAGGATTCCATATTATAAAAACTAAGAGCATAAGTAATATTTCGTGATGTCATAACTTTAAACCATTGCCTCAAGAGAAGTACAAACCATACTGTAGTTTGCATCGAAGAATCATTTTTCTTTTGACTAAAATGTAATAAAGCTCCAGCAGTATGAGGATTGATAACATTTGTAGCAGAAGAAACTTTCATTTTAGAAAAATGAGATGGTTTCAAGGTTGTTTTTTTTTAAATGAGGGACAAATTTCAGATTCATATTGAGTTGACGATCTTCCAGCCATTCTATATATTCAAAATTTATAATATTAGATTCAAGTTTTTCGTTATGTACCACATCGTCAGGAAGATAAATTATCTTATTCTTCATGAACATTTCTTTCAAGCTTTTGAAAACATGAATGAAATCAGGCATAGCATACAGCAGCCTATTTGCATTAAAGGGATGTGTTCGTGAGTAAATCATAAAGTTTTTCTTGTGAGAAAATCTAAGGCGCGCCAATAATCCTCTATTTCCCATATCGCAAACTAAAGCGAGAACTTTAAATCCAATTTGCTCGCATCTCTCTAATATTTTCATAATAACTTCCACAATGGCCTCATGATATGCTTTACCTGTTGTGAAATGATAGGCAACAACTTGTTTATATCGTTTTTGAATGCCTGCGAGAAGAAAAACTAAAGCTTTTGATGCTAGCTGCTTTGGTACTCCAGGAAGTGATACGTAACCAATATAAGCGCCAGTACTAGGATCAAGATCTATCCTTTGCTCAATACTCATTTCGTCGAAAATAAGAACACAATTTCTGTCATTTTCATTCATATTATGTATCATTTCTTGTAGACGTAAAAAGACGCTATCCAAAAGTCCTGGATTAAATTTAATATGTTCTATACTCCTTTGTAACGTTCGCACAGAGGGAAGCGGCGCCATTATTTGTCGAAGATAATTGTATCCTCTGGTTCCACAAGTAAATCGCAGGCTCAAACCTTTAAGAATGATATCTTTTGACCATTTCATGCCTCTAGAAGTGCCTGTTCTTAGAACTCGTAATTGATCATTGCCAAAATAAATTTGAGTTTTTTGTAAGCAATTATTCAGGATCTTAATTTCTTCTTTTAAATTAAAATTTTCTTTACAGATTTTTCTAAAATCTTGCATCCAGTAATTTGATTGTTTGCCTTTTTTTTGCTCACGTTTATTATTTTCTTTGTATTTTCCTTGTATTTTGTTTTCATCGGTTTCAGATTTCTTTTGAGATTTTGACTGATCAATTTTCTCAGTTAAAGATTCCATTATGTTCATGTTTATGTCATGCGGAGAGTTAGCTTTAGAACTTTCCATTTCTATTGTCTTTTTAATTTCACAAATTTGCACTGGAGATACAGTAAATGGACAATTAGTTTCATGTTTTATATCGCACATTTGTTTCTTGGAAAATCTTGTACCAATTTTCGTACAATTTTTATTATATATTCCACAAGCAGTTGAAAGTTGCTGACTTGTTTGCATGTGTTAATTTGAAGATCTGAAAAAAAACAAAAAATGATTAAATTGTAATTTTAACATTTTGCATGTAAGTCTGCATATTATATATATATATATGTTATGATCCTTACCAGAATTTTTATTATAAATATGTTTTTGCTTCAAAATTGGATTATTATAAGAATGTTCTACAATATTTGGCGAAATTTGTTTTAAAGGAACACGATTTTCTGTGAGTACAGAAGAAATAAAGCTGTAAGAATGCTCTATATACTGTTGATTTGAATTCTCTGAATCCAATTTTGTTTTAACATTGCGCACATGAGTTCCTTTTTTCTTTCGCTTACTAGTTTGCGATTTGTTACAAAAATCGACAGAGGAACATTGACAAAACCGTGCTGGTATTGCACCTTTTTTTATTTCTTTCCGGCGACCCACTACCAATAAATCAGATTGGTCAAAGTGTACCTGAAAATAAAGGAACATTTTTAAAACTACTTTTATTTGAATAATCCTGTATAACATTCTTATGATGTACACTCACTTCACACAATCTAAGATTTTCCAAAGAACGTTTTGACGCGTTCTTGCCGAAAATAGCATTTGATGCTGCTCTTCTTTAGGAAATCGCATCAATGCATATTCTTCATCGGATTTAATGAAGCACCTTGGTGCGCAACAAGTGTGCGGCATTGCAAATTATAAAATGCAAATCTACGATAAAAATATTATTGATGAAAAAATAAGTATCTCTTTAACTTAACCTATTTATTCAATTATAGATCGTCTTTACATTTTATTAATTCAAAATTTTTTTATAAGTTACTTAGACATGATAATTAACTTACCAACAATAGATGTTCATAAATATATATACATTACACATCCGTATGAAATTATTTCAATGTAACATATAAAACAGCAGGTTATCGTATGACAGGTATATTATATGTCTTCATAGTGCACACAGTGTACAAATGGTGTAACATGGAGTGCACCATCTGAACTTTTAGACGATTAAGACCCCAGCCAATCAGAGTCCAGAATGAGTTGGCGAGTCTTTCTTTATAGGGTCTCTATCACACACACGATGTGCAAAATCCGACCAACAACCTTCACGTGGTGCACATTGGTTAATGCTAATGTCGGCGGTAAATGTCATTTTTCAAGAAAAAAAGGGTTAACTTCAACATTATGTAAATCGGTCAAAAAAAATCGTAGGAAGATTTAAAAAAAAGCATTTTGTAGGTAAAATGTTACAGTTTGTAGTATTTGTATTGAATTCTGTGAAAAAAATTTTTTATCAAACTGCAGAGTGTTATATATAAAAATGTGTAATTTTAAGGAATAAATCAACATTTTTAATTTTAGCACCAAACAAGGAAGACAGAAAAATTTTTTATAGTCACCGATACCACGTTAAAGCTGACATTTTGAGCTTCAAAATGCTTTTTTTTGTTTGTTCTACGATGATTTTTCATCGAGTTACGTCAATTTTTCTAAAAAATACAGGGTTTGCTTCAAAATCGTGTAAATCGGTCAAAAAAAATCGTAGAAAAATTTAAAAAAAGCATTTTGTAGGTAAAATTATGTAGTTTATGAAACGTTAATTGAATTTTTTGAAAACAAATTTTTTAATTGAGTTTTAAGTAGTCAAACATAAGTTAATTTTAAAGAACAAATCAATGTGTTTTTTTTTAAAGCGTACAACATAGAAAATAAAAAAATTTTAAAAATCTACCGAAAGTGCGTTAAAGTTGTAACTTCAAGCTTCAAAATGCTTCTTTAGATTTTTTTTTACGATAATTTTTCGCCGACTTACAGCAGTTTGAAAATAGCCTAATTTTTAGGGTTCTTAAAGTATTCCCTATTTTTTTTGTACGAGTGTATTTGCGGATCAAGTAAACGGTACACACGTTTGTATAACTGCAAACGTACCGTAAAGTCTTTGTAAGAATTATATTTACTCCAAGCAATATTCTTGACTCGTGTCGGAGATATTTCCAAACCATCGGTAAGAAAATATTCTTCACTGAGAGAAAACTTGGTTGAAAGAAGTAAAATAAAATAAGTAAGTGCTTTTCTTGACTGTAGAATGATTATTTTTCCGTAATGTTTATAATTAAAACAAATAACGGTATAATTTTTATATTTGTAATAAAGACATTGCATTTATTTGTAATTTTTTATTTTTTTAGATGCGGTCAATCATGCGGACTTGGCAATTCTCGTCAGTTTTGCGGCAATGTATTAAGGAAAAATGTGCTTCCAGTGCCGTTTTATGTTATTATTTTTAACAATTATATTAACAATTTTATTTTATTTTAACAATTTTTAACAATTATAATATAAACATTTTATTATTTTTCATTTATTTTGTATTATTTTTATCTCATCGTCTCATCATATCCAGAAAAACCTAAAATAACGAAATTATATACGATATAAACATAAGCTAAAAGGAATGAAGCATTAGAACCAGAGGATCGTCACTAGCCCGTTCGATCATGGAAGTGAAGCAACTTTGACGAGTGCGGTTACTACTCGGATGGGTGACCACCCGAATAAAAAAAAAACGGCAATATATTTCGGAAACCTTTCAACACATTTTCTTAGAAAGGTTTCAAGTGCGAGAATCGCGGACATTTTGCTATTCCACACAGCTGTCTCACAGAGATGTTGCGGAAACATTTTGAAACATTTATGACATGTTTCAACACTCCATCAGTTGAAACATTTTTTAAATATCTGTGAAAGGTTTCAGATATATTTCGGTAAACTTTCAGTACGGTTTCAGAAAGGTTTCAAGTGCAAGAATCGCGGACATTTTGCTAATCCAGAGATGTCTCACAGCTGTTGCCGAGAAACATTTCGAAATATTTATCAGATGTTTTAATCCATCGAATGAAACATTTCTTAGATATTTCTGAAAGGTTCTCGTGCTGTATGGGTAATTAAATACTTATTCAAAGAACATAAACTATACTCATGAAAATAAAATATATTCGTGTAACGTTAACAAAAATGTTATCTTACATCTCAAATAATAAAGGAAATATTTTATAAAAGTACATCGCTCATCCTACTCTCTTCATCTTGCTTTTTAGATAAGCCTGAGAAAGATGCAAGGGCCACAGGAAAACACCATGCTTTTGTAGAGAAAATGTTATCCATGATACGCAAAGAAAGATACGATGTGTATTGAAACAATCAAGAAAATGTTGCTCACAAGTCCTCTATCTTCCTATTTCCTGCATGTCATTGCCTGATTTATCGTTACAGATCTTTGACTGGTTTTGTTATGGTAGTTATTTGAAGCTTTTCAGTTTGGCAGCACACATTGCAGTCCCGTCACATTATGTCCATTACGTTTCACAGAATCTCAGAAACCTCCTCCCACGTTTTCTTTTCAGATTGTTTTTCATCGGTAAATATTTTCTCATTTGCTTCGTAAGTCTCGAGCAAAAGCAGCACACAAGGTGTTGTCCACCTGTATATATATGGAGACTTGCTGAAAATTATATGCAATACACGATATGTCACTAATTGTTTCATTGAAAGCGTCATTATAAAAGACTAAAGCTGTGACTGATTTGTAAAAGAATTTTGACATACCTCCATCAAGTTTGCCGACTCGTTACCGATCAAGTTTGTCACTTTCTTCTTCCGTTATACCGGCAACTTGAGAACGTTCTCTCGTTGTTGTATAATGCCACAGTTGGTGACGGTGACGGATTGTCTGATGTAACTTTCATCGATTCCCGCTCCTCCTTAACAGCAGCATTCATCAATGCATGTTTGCAAATACTGCGTCTAAAAAAAGGGACATCACTGCTGGTGGAGTAATGGTTTGAGCAGATTGGTTTACTTATATAATTTGAAGACAATGTTTTATACTTTTAAATCTTTGTTTTTAACGGACAACACTGTTTTCCGTTACAAGTCTTACAAACGTTGCCACTTGGTACACACGTTTCAGATTTAAGATAAAAGACACAGGTGCTATTTCGAACGCAGCCTTAGTTAACTAAAATGCTATAGTGTACGTGACGTTGGAACCGGGTGATAAATCATCCGTTCCAACATCGAGTTCCGCTTGCACCTTAGACGACTGCCAACAGCCAATCAGCGTGAAGCGGGCGACGGAGCCGAGCGCGGGCATGACGGAGACGATGGCGCCGACGACACAAGCGGCCAATGAGGAGTAGGCGAGTCTCGAGGACACCGAGATCGCGCAAATATTCGAGCAGATACCACAAGGGGTAGCAGAGGCGATAATTCTTGCCGAGGGTGCGGATCAGCCCGCCGGATCAGCCGAGGTTGACGACGTCGTGGCCAGCCAATCCCCAGCAGCGGAGGAGGTGGTCGAGTCGACGGTCCCGGAGGACCAATCCCAACGCACGGAGGCGTAAGCCCGTGTGAAACGAACCTTTTTTGATATATTATAATAAATTAGATTAGGATATGTTATTGTGAAACGCAAGAACGCGAAAAACTCTAGCGAGAGATATTTTCTTTTATTTTATATATTTATACGAGAATTTTATTATTTTGATTTTATTGTCACATAGAGGACGAGGATAGGTAGCGAAGGTGCAATTGAGCATGCCAAAGTTTTACACGAACATTTTATTTGATTTCTTTAAGTTATTTAATTCTCAAAGCGACAGCGCGAGATAAGCGCGTATACATGTAAGCGAACCGTTTGGTACATATTAAAAACAAAACTGACTCAAACACACGACTGAAATATAATCAAAACACACATTCACCAATCCCAACTATCCTGGAGAAAGAATTCACAGTTTAAGCAAAGTAATTATTAGAGTCACGAAAAGAGCCAATCAGAGGCCAGAGTTAGCAAAAGCAACATTCAGCGATGGATTCGGATAAATTCCGTATCTTAGTCCTATCTTTCATTTTTATCCTATTTGCAATAGCAATTATCTGCATACTGTTACTAGCCTATTCACACCGGGTGAAAGTAGAACCTTGCAATCGACGCCCAAAGGGTCGTCAGCTCCATTGACACCACTCGAAGCTTTACTCAAGGCTAAGAACGCAGCGCAGATGCAGGGAAAGCGAGACACCGCGCCAGCAAGGGATGGGGTTAAAACTAAGGGTGAAATAAAACTCGACACCCGAATACACACCTCGATTCCTATTCCCAAAGATCCTGAAAGCAAACTTGACATTAGCAGCAGTTCAGCGACAACCATAGCGGTTGACAGTAGCGAGCCGGATGACAACGAAGATCAGCTAATCGAGCCGAGCCAGACTATCCGAAAGGATGACGCAGAGCCAGCCGATTCGCAGCCAGCGTAGTTGTAGGTACCAATCCTGTAACTTACGAAATATTATTAACGTATCTCATAATGAGATTATTCTTATACTTTAAACATGACAAAAGTCATAGTTTGACAGTTATCCATAGATACATATATTATTAAAGTTTTTTAAGCAAGACTCTTCCAAACGAGTCATATATAATCAATATTGCGATAAAAATGCGTTACGTTAGCTTAGTGACAGTCCAAGCGGGACAAAAACATATAATTTCTTTAACTTTTGTTATTTTGATAAATATCTATTTCTAGAGTAACATAT